GAATAATATTAAGATAATTATGGCCAAAAGCCGTTAATCGTTCGTAATACGTAATACTGAGCGACTGTGAAGTAAACTTCATTTGCATTCCCAATGCGAGCTTACATATGTGAATGCCCTTTAAACACTGCAATTGGTCTTAACATATATATATATATATATATATATATATATATATATATATATATATATATATATATATATATATATATATATATATATATATATATATATATATATATATATATATATATATATATATATATATATATATATATGTTAAGATGAAAATGTTCTAGAGTGTGTATTATATAATTTCCATACCCAGCGCAAGCAGAAAGATGTTGTCTGCCGCGGCTGGGTCTTGAACCCGCGAGCTTCGAATTACTAGATCGACGCTCTACCAACTGAGCTACACGGTCAGACGGATTTAAGACTGGAAATTATGAAATATATACTGAATGTTATAAACAAACTCGTTTATATTAATTCAGCACCGAACAATACTAGTTCTGCAAGTGTTATGTTAAGTTGTGTAATTGTACACTCCGTAATATGTTAAAATGAAAATGTTCTAGAGTGTGTATTATATAATTTCCATACCAATACAAATATATATATATATATATATATATATATATATATATATATATATATATTAATACTGTTAATCGTATCAACATGAAACTAAAACAACTGAAAGATAAAGACAAACTAGAAGAAACCAACTACAAGAGAATTCGACCAAACGATGCATCCACTGCTAAATTTTACGGACTACCGAAAATACATAAAGAAAACATTCCTCTACGACCTATTGTCTCCCTCCCAGGATCACCTACATACGAGCTATCAAAATATCTTGCTATGATCCTTCATCCTCTTGTCAAGACATCTCCTCATACAATTAATAACGCTAATACTTTCATTACTAATATTAAAGATCTTAAACTTGAACCGGACGAAATCATGATATCTTTTGACGTCGTTTCTCTTTTCACTTCCATACCACTAGACACAGCAAAACGCATCACGAACGAACTGCTTACTTGTGACGAATCGTGGCAAACCAGAACCAAACTAGACAAACACGACATTCTTGAACTACTTGATCTGTGTCTTTCCACTGAATTCTCATTCCAAAACTCTTACTACAGACAACTTTCGGGTACACCTATGGGATCTCCTCTTTCTAGTTTCCTTGCTGAAGCAGTCATGCAGGATCTAGAAAAGAGATCCGTTACTAACAATAACGATATTAAAACATGGAACAGATACGTAGACGACGTCCTTGCTACAGTTAAGAAAGACAAGACTAACGACATTTTACGTACTATAAACAATACTACAGAAAATATAAAATTCACGAAAGAAGAAGAAGATAACAACCAACTTGCTTTCCTTGACATTTTGTTAACAAGAACTGATGACGGCACGATTAACACACAGGTTTACCGTAAGAAAACACACACTGACCAAATACTGAATTTTAACAGCAACCACCCTACTCAACACAAAATAAGCTGTATAAGAAGCTTATTCAACCGAATAGATACGCACTGTAACACAGAACAAGCTAAACAAACAGAACGCAAATATCTATTCTCGACCTTCATAAAAAACAACTACCCTAGGAACTTCGTTAACAAAATACTAACAAAAATACGTAACAAACAACAGAGTAACATACCTGACGAACAACCTGAACAATCAAAGACAAGAATAACTCTACCTTACATAAACAGTACATCTGAAATGACCGCCAGATTATTGCGACCTTTCAACATTGACGTTGCACACAAACTGGCACATAAACTTAGGTCATATTTCACAAAACACAAAGACAAAACTGCATCAAAACAAACAAAAAATGCTATATACATGATACCTTGCAGAGACTGTCCACAACGATACATAGGTCAAACCTCAAAGAAAATTGAAACACGAATAACTGAACACAAAAACGCCATAAAACGATACGATTATAAATCACTATACCTGCAGCACACACATACGACAACTGCCATACCTTCAACTGGACAGAAACCGAACTATTAGGACGAGGACAAACAAAGCACGCACTTGAATTTAAAGAGGCATGGTACAGTATAGACGGTAATACAATTAACCGACACGTTGAAATTCCCACTGTTTACTTACAACTTAAAACAACGCGTAAATGTCCTACTAATAACAACGATACTATGACTAATACTAACTTCCAAATAACACTTCCTTCAACATCCGCAACACAACAATCCGAACATTCCAATGACGCCATCCCTAGCAGCCAAATTCATTCAACCGTGACAACGCATTCTTCAACCACCAATGAAATCAGATCAACCGCGGAACAGCCAATTAGACGGTCTCAACGTATACAGGAACGTCGCAACACCGCAAAACTTTAATTAAGTAATGTACATATGTAATTTTAATCTCAGTATTCTGAAGAAGGCTCGAAGTACCGAGTCGAAAGCTCAATAAAAGTATATTTCAATCCGGAGAACTTTAATTAATTATATATATAATATATATATATATATATATATATATATATATATATATATATATATATATATATATATATATATATATATATATATATATATATCGCAAAATATGGAATTGTAGATGTACATATAACATATTATTTATATACATTTTAATCGTATTTTAATTCGTAACTTCTTGGCATTTAAATTTTCATCAAACTTTGATTAGCCGTTTGTAGTTAAACTATTCGAAATCACGTTCCCTGGAACATCCTACATCTACTAATAGTTTAACAGATGATTTTATTAACTGGTAGAGAATAATCTCAAAAAAGTTGAAGCTTGGAGTTAATTACATTAGATTTGGCTTGTTGTTCAGTTAATCCAAAAAGACCAAAACCCAACTTATTTTCTAAATTAAATATTTTTGACATTTCAAAAACGATGGTAGTTTTCCAAAGATAACGCTTCAATGTATTATCAATAACAAACGACGTTTTACCAAATACTTTCTCCAACGCATCAATTAACTCTTCATGATTTAGACGAATTCCTTAAATATTAAAAAACTCCTCCTATTCATATCAAACTTTCGCAATACAAAAAGTAGTTTCGAATTTCACGGCTTCATATTTCACAATAATTGCCCCAAAATAAGGCAAAATTTTGCACTCAGTTTCTCGCTCTTGTTTCTTATTGGCAAAGAATTGCGCTCGGACACCTCCAAAATCATAAAATATAGACCTTCAGACGTTCTTTGAATGTGTTTTACCGAGCAAAAATGAAAGCCCATCACTTTTGGTGTGTTTAGAGGCGGTTGCGCATATTTTTAATAGTAATTTACACTACGCGCGCGTTATCGGCTTAGGTGAACAGGCTCTAGAGAGCCCATTTGCGCATGCGTATGGCGCTGGACACCGCCAAAATCAAAATTTGCTACATTTTGGTATAAAGTATGATTTATTTTTTAGTGAAATAAGTCCGTCAAAATGCGTGTAAAACTAGGTTATATTTTGCAGTTAGTATCCTCGATAGTTACTACACTAGCTGACGCCGAGTAAGACCGAATACTGGAGAAGTATCTTCAACTGAAGCTCTGCCTTCGTTCGTACATCATATAAGCAAGTAAGAATATGTTCATTATTCATTTACAATAAAAGCTGTATTGCGGAATTGCGACAAATTTTAGTATTTTTTCTGGTATTCATAGCATATAGTCGAATTATACATCAGGGGTATTAGTCGTATTACGTACTAGTCTAACGCAAGTAAATGTTCTTCCTTTGATTTCTAAATACGGACAAGTAGGTTGAAAATACGAGACGAAGACGAGCTTTTTTAACTAGCTTGTACGTGTTTAGAATCAGAGGAAGAACACTTAATTACTTGTGTTAGAAGTGGATTCTCAAACGAATCAATACTTTAAGAGAAAGCAATGTGCGCTGTGGTCTGTCTGTCTGCCATATTTAAGAGGCTGTCTCCCTAAAAACCGACCACTCATATTTTACGTAAAAAGTAAACCCACCTAAAACTTTATGACCAGGAAGGTTTGGGCTTTTAATTACCTGAATCGGTTTTATTTTTCTCAAATATTTTATTTTTATCCAGATATAGCGATCAATAGTCCCAGGGATCTCGGAAGCAAAATGGCGGCCGTCTAAACACGATATTTCCTACTATATTGGCGGTGGAGACAGGAAATTAAAATATCTTTCTCCCTTTTTAGGATTTTCCAGCAAGAACCAGGGAAATAACGATGTCAAATATTGTTGTGTTAATCGTCATTGTCTTGACGTGTATTTCCACCGAAACCGCTGCCCAAGTGGGCTGTGTTAATCCGATGAAAATGAGCGAACTTCGAGTTTTGAAGTCAAAGAAATGTATTAACATAGCCGGAACAGCTGGTTGTGGAAAGATTGATACAAATCTCTGTGACGGCTATCATGATCAGCAAATTATTATGTGTGAAGATGGCACGATGAGGAATTTAAAAGCTTCTCATAATTGTTTTACACCAGGCAAAAACGGAAAGGGAAATTTGAAGTCAACTTCTTGCGAGGTATACCCAGCCATACCTGATTATCAGAAGTGGAGATATGGAAGGTCAAAAACCTTTGTAGACACAGGAGGAATTAAACAAGAGGCAAGAGAAATCATAAACGTGAAATCTGGAGCGTGCATGAATGTTCATGGCCGTGGTGGAAATGGCGACATTTCTGCATCTCGTTGCGAAAATCTGGATGACCAGTACTTCTACTTCCGCTCTCGTGGTAAGCTGCTGGGACATGGGAGACTACAAGTTACGAAATCTGGTCTTTGTCTGGATGTGAAGGGAGACCAAGGACGTGGCAATGTTTTAATATACAACTGTGAAGACGCTGCTGATCAGCTTTTTTATTTCCACGAAAATGGCGAATTAGTTAACAAAAAGTCCGGATTGTGCGTCAATATTGGAGGTTATAGTGGATATGGCGATATCTCCATGTACGCGTGTCAAGATCTGCCTGATCAAATGTGGACACGACCGCACCAGTACTGCGTTGGAGATTACTGTTCGTTCCGGAGTAAGAAGGCAGCGCAGTGCATAGACGTTAGTGGAAGTAGCGCAAGCAAGGGATGCAATGTGCTGACCCACAAGTGTGACGGGGCTCCTGATCAACGCTTTAAATGGTTGAAAGGAAATTGGGTTACACCTAGTGCAACATGGTCCATGGTTGGCTGCAATCAAAACGGTAAAGTTACCCACGCGATAAGCAACACGATCAAATACACGACAAAAATCAGTAGCAGCATATCAATATCAGTTAGTTCCACAATCGAAGCTGGTTTCTTATTTGGTAGCGCATCAGTTACTAGAGAAGTGTCAATATCGCTCGCAAAAGAGTGGGAAAACAGCCAATCAGGAACCAGAAAGATAACTTTCACTTGCCAAAACTATGATACAGGAAAGCCATTCATACGGGGATGTATGTGGCAATTCCAACTCACTACCAAGGAAACAACGAAAAACGATATTTTGACGTGGTCGCCCCGGATTGTGAAATGTACGAGCAATCATCAAGTGCCAAAATGCCCTCCATTTACGAGATGCAAAGATGACGCATGCACAATGTGTGAAAAACTTCCAGGTGCCCGTAAGAAAAAAAGCGTCGACGAATCCTTGACATGGAAAAAATATTGAAGATATAGACTAGAAAATAAACAAGAAAGACTATGCAATACATCATTTATTCGTTAACTTTTGGTTTTAGTCTAGAAATTGGGAACGATTTGTACTAGGTATAAGTAGAAATAATAAACGAACACGCAGCTAATTTGAAGAATTTTTGAAGAATGAAGCAGTATAAGCTCTGTATATTACACAAAATGTAACAAATCAATGGAAACAAATAGAATACATTTTTTGCAATGCTTTTCGAGAGTTTTTATTTTCATGCATGTGCGCAAGCAAACAAAGATTCACATTGTATAACTACCAGTCGTTGCTCAAAATGCTGGTTAACTTCATCCTTGATTAACTTGAAATTCACAGTAAATTTCCCAGCAGTTTGTTTATAGGCTTGGAAAATTTCTTCACAAAAATCTTGTCAGCATCAGAAGTTTTCTTTTTTAACGTTATGAGATTAACTGACATGGAGAAATACACAAACTGTATATATAAAACAGCGTGTTAAGTTTTAACCTATATGAAATACATTATATAGTATAATTGAAACCTTCAGGTAAACGGTTTAGGGTACAAAATTAGGTCGGGCAGAGGCTTTAATTCTATGCATGAATTCCAACCTCCTGTACCGCTCAATCAGCCATTGAGCTATAGTGAATAATATATTAACAAACATTTATAACACTCTGTGAATTCAAATGATTGAGATTTAATCCGAGCAGCAACCCGTCTTGACTTCGTCCCATTTTATAATATGAACAGAGAGAACATACGTTTGGATAGGATTTTTTCTTTTCGGGAGGATTGGATTTAATTTTCAAAACTGCAAGATTTCCTGTAAACTTTTCCTTCAGAAGTGAGGCAAATGTTCAATCTCTATATATGACGTTTATATATAGTTTTCGGGATTTTAGTTTTTTGAGATTGCATTTAGTCTCAGAAGACACTGAATGTTTTGGTGATATACTATTATTAAATTCTCACAACATCTGGGTAAATGTGTATTTTTGACGTTTACATGCAGTTATTCAGTGAATATATACTTTGCATGTTCGACTGAATTTGTAGGCACTGCACGCGTCGGAAAATACAAAAGAAAAGAACATCGGATAAAGATTTGTCCTGATTTACATAAACTCACCTTCGGCTCAAGTTTGTATATCAGATACAGATCGGCTGCTCATGTTTTATCTATAGTACTTAAAGGGGCCCTACAGTCATTTTTTAGTCGAAAAGCCATCTTAAGTAGGGGACTCCACAGAGATTCGTTTGGCTGTATCTTACATGCAGTATCCATGAGTATGAGTACTTCCGCACACCGGAAAACGCATGCATGCTGTGCTGTGGTGCGCATGTCAAGGAGCAACAATAACAAAAAATGTAAACAATACTTACTTGGCTAAAAAATGACTGTATGGCCCCTTTAAACCTCGGCTACTAAAACACGTTCTGCGAGTTTATTAAACGCTTCAAAAACGACAGTTTGGTGACCGTGAACAATTGTTTCGGCTAAGCGATATTAATAGAGAATTAAGTTTATCAGTTGGATATTTGTGTTGCCATGTGTAAGGAAAATTTGCATGTTGTTTTGGGGTTAAGGCAGCTTTTACTTAAGCCACTTTTCCACTACAATCGTGTCGTACAGAAACGTAGCGTATTTCTTTCTTTCCTGAGTACTAGAGTGGAACTAATGACTTCGACACAAAAGAAAATGCTACGGTACGTTACGATACGGTTGAAGTGGAAAACTGGCTTTATCCGCATACAACGTAGCGAAACGTAGCGTATCTCTTTGACCTTCAGTTCGTGAGCACCACTGGTGAGGACTCAGGCAGAACTAATTATATTGACACAAAAGAATACGCTGCGTTTTATCAGGATACAGATTAAGTGAACACAGGCTTAAGAGTTTATTCAAAGCAGTTCCGTGGCAAGAAAATTTATATGAGCGTAGGCCATGGCATCGCGACCGAACGTTTAGGAAGCCCATGCAAAATTGCCAAAGAAGAAAAGAAACCGCTGGAAAATGCCTTGCAAAAGTCAATCCTTGGCGTTAATAAATGGTCAATGACAATGAAGATCTCTTCGGAGTGGCAGCGTGGCAGGGAACAAGATTAACTAAGAAAGCGTCCGACGAACAAGGCAATTCATGCAGTTCATGGCAATTCAAAAGTTTAAGACTTGGATATAAACGTTATTCACCTTAGCTACTGCAATGTTGAAACATAGTTTCTGGTTCAGATACGTAGATGCATGATACGTTGAGAAGCTGGTGTCATCATATGGTGTCATGGACTAGATAATTTGCAAAAGTTTCTAGACCACCGCATTAGTAGTTTGTATCCTTCTATCAAGTTTACTTTTAAAGCCTCAGAAGGATGATAAAACTATACCTTTCTTAGATGTTCTGTTCACTATACAAGAAAATGGGTTGCTAGGACATCAGGTTTATAGGAAACCTACACACACAGACAGACAGGTATCTGCATTGTAATTTATTTCATCATCCTAGTATTAAAAACTCCGTGTGTAAGACACTCGTCAACCGAGCTAAAACAATTTGTGAGGTATTAAAGTAACGATAATGAATTAGAACATTTAAAGTCGCAGTATGATCAACGAATATTTATTTTCTTACACGAAAGTTTGCTTGTTTCCACTCGGCAGGAACTTCAACATGCATGGGCAAGCGACATTGCGAAAACTGTTCAGCCGGTTAAAGATGGCGCCAGTTCTGTCGTACATTATTTCAACAATGTTGCTGATATTCCATCAGGACCAGTGGCTTTGGTGCATGGTACAACTGAAGACCACACAACAAACAGCAAACATCTTCAACAGTAATTGTTATATACTCCAGACCGATTGCATCCGTGTTGTTCACAGGTGGTAAATCTGTCGCCGAGGTATAGATGGTGTATTCGGTCGACACACGGATGTGAAGTAGGAATTGAATGCGTCAGCTTTTGCTTTGCTTTGCTTGCTACAAAATCGTTTGATGTTTTGATGAGAAGGTGAGTTGTACTGCACTTAAATTGGCATATATAAACTTAACGTTATAACTTAGTTTGTAGTAAAAACCTGTATATATTTTATACATATATACAGTCTCAACGATATGTGAAAGGGTTCACATTTGATTGCGTGCAGATTTTATTTAATGTATTGTTGGTATATGTAATTACCTCGGGTCGGTACGACACCGAGGTCTTAAATTCGGCTCCTATTTTTTTTTAATTTTTTTTTTTATTGTTTTTCATTTGTGTCGAGCCGCGCACGTAGTCGAAGATCGAAGGGCCTGCGGAGGAGACGACAACATCCGGTAAATAAGTGTACTTCCGGCAAGCATCGGCCAAAGCGAAACGGAACGCGAAGCTGTCCTTGCACAAAATCCATCAGAATTGTTGATTTAAAACCAGAAGATGTGATAATTTTGACATACATGTTTAGCTGGACAACTATTCTCGAGTATATGTTGATATAATGCACAATACTTCGTATGCATAGCATGGGAATACCGCGGCCAACTTTCACTTGTTATCTATTATAATTACTGACCCGAATCAAAAGTAATTATTTTCGGCTGGAACTACTGTACGTTGCTGCTTGTCGGGACCGTATGACAATGAACCTATCCAACGTTACACTAGACATTTGTGAGGACATGCATATAGACATAACCATAGGCACTGTAGTGCATTGTGATAGAACAGATTTCAGTTTCATTAATCGCCCTAAATTTAAATCTCCACAAGCGGAGGTCAATTATAGTGTTCTAGTTTACATATCATTAATGACAAGGTTTACTCAAATAGCGTATTGGATAAACACGGGAATAGAACTTATGGTGTACATGTATTCTGCACATGCGTATATCTAGGATAAAATCCCACAAGCGCAAACGAAACTATTTCTCTATAAAATTGAACTGAAAAGACTCACAGCGATCGTTTCCAACAGTGCTTCAGGCACCCGACGACACCGTATGGGGGGCCTTTAGCACTGTCACCTTCTCATCTTGGGATGTTCACGTTATCGCGTGTACATGTCAGGGTGACGAAGATGCATTATTGGCATTTATTGCTAATAATGCATATGTCTGTGCGCACTGATGCACGCTGCATTATTTTTAATAATGTTGTGTGCTATTTTAACGCGTACATAGAATATGACGCGTATAAACATTTACCCCTGAGCCGGAATTTCCCTATACAACCAAAAAGGCCGCTCCCGTTTTTCAGTAGAACGTTAAATGAAAACTTCTCGACATTCGCTGATATAATGCAGAGAGAAAACAATAGGTTTGATGAGGGCCAGTAATTATTATCAATAGAATATTAAAACGGAGCTTTGATTAACTGATTCACCATTTATACTAGTGAACTATTAAACTATCGTGATTTACACAATTTTTGGATATTTACCAGACGATCCCCTATCCACCGACCCGAGGTTAACGCCGAGTCGGCGTCTTGTTCTTACTGGAAAATACGACATAAAATCAATGCGAAGTATGAGACAATAGCTATATAGAGGGTATCTCACTTTTAAGGAACTTTCCTTAAATTTAGATTATTCGTTCACCAACAATGCGAAAAGTTTAAGGAAATTTAATGTTTGGCAAATGGGAAGTTAGAGAACTTGTTTATACCAAATCAATTTCCCGCCTTTTTCCACCAAAGTCGATAAAAAAACTAAAGAACGAAAGTTTATATTTGGTATATTTGTATATATACAGAGCTGGCAATCTCATCTAACTTTGGCTATAACTGTAACGGTTATAGTTGGCGTCGGAGGACAGTGAATGAAACAATGGTCAATACCATGCATTGACATTGTTGTTGTTTGTGTTTGACATGTCGCACAAATAACGATATCCAAAAAAAAGCAAATATCCGTCCAGTATTTTACCTGGCTAAAACAGTTGATATTAGCCATCACCAGCAGTCTCTCGCTCTTTACAAAACAGATACGTACACTTGTTGCCGCTCATTGCCGCTTAGCATTCGTCAAAGAGTAGGATAATTCTCCCTGCGCTACTTTCCTGGAACAGATACCAATATCACCAAACTGCATTATAGCCAGCTTGGCCGGCTCGCTCTTCTAAGGCGGAGAATTCGCCTATGATTCGTATTACCAAATATACCCTTTCGATAATTACATAGTTGGTCTTGGAACCTTGCTCTCATTGGTCTGATTACGCAAGGTGATTGGCGTTATTATCGAAAGGTGATTGGCGTAATTATCGAAGAGTGTATTTAATTTGCTAGTAATGGATAGGCTATAGCGTGCCTAACGTGTCTTATGAAATAAAAACATATGGGTAATGCCATGGCAATTCTCCGTATTTTCGTATCTTTTTTATCGAGTCCTGGCTCGAGTCCTGGCTCGAGTCCTGGCTCGAGTCCTGGCTCGAGTCCTGGCTTGAATTCTGACTCGAGCAATAGTATATCTCCAATAGCTACAGGAAGAAATATTCAACATTTTAGAAAACCAAAGATGGCGAAATATTGAGATTTCCTGACATGATTGGAACCCGGAAGCAGTCTCTTTCTTTCGCTTTGAGCGGATCGCCGCGCCGGATGCAAAATTAGCCAAAATTAGGCATAGTTTTCAACTATATTTGAGATGCACAAAATCTATGTTTCTGCCCAAATGGCAATAAAGAGTTGCAGTAAGTGCTTTTTAGTAAGTAAGTGCTTTTTACTGCTTTATAGAGATTTCGACTAGCAATCATAAAACTGATAATCTCGCGTGATTCATGATTTAAGATTTAATAATGTTCGACAACTACTAAATTTATATTATAACAATGTAGTGCCAGTTAGGATACTCGCCACAGTGTCCTAAATTACGGCGAGTCCTTAATAATTACATCTAAAATCACGTTAATATTAATATTGAATAACCTATAATGAATAACTGACATTATTATATACACAAGGTCTGGATATGAGATATTCTGCAATCTGATTGGTTCTCTACTACCAGGATATTAGCTCATATCCTGCTAGTATAGAAAAACAAAATGGCGGCTAAAACTGAATTTCCGACGTTTTTCGAACGAGAAAACCGCAAGTTATTCACTTTTTATAGCCCTTTCAGGATTAAAAACACAATGAAAAAATTCCCACAAATTGTTTACAGGCTAGCAAATTAATTTTTAAAATTTAAAACGGTTAAAAAATATATTTTTGAAAAAATAATCGACCGAAAGAGCGAAGATACAAACATAAACAAAACAGATAAAATATTGAAAATACCCGAAAAGCAAAGTCTGTGAATTCAGACCTTGTGTATATAATAAAACAGTTATTCCACTCACTCTCGTCGAATATGAGCGATAGCCGATGAGGCGCGTAGCGCCTCATCGGCTATCAGCTCATATTCGACTCGAGTTCGCGTAGAATAACTGTTAAATACGCATAACAAAACGCATAACAAAACATAACATAACATAACATAACATAACATACAACAAAACATAACATATACATGCAACTAGCAACATCTTAAAACACCGTCCAGGGACCTCGCCCTTCTACATTTAGCATGGACTTCCAGGTACGTGGATCGCCACAATTGTATATTTTGGATAGCGCGTGTTCGTAATATGCCTTAAGTTTTGATTTAAAGGTATTCAGACCAATATTTCTGGGACGAAGATCACAGCCCAAAATTTTCCATGTTTTACATGCTCTGATGAAATAAGAAGTTTGGAAGGTCACCGTATTGGCAAATGTTATTGAAAATTTATATAAGTTCTCATTTGTTTCGCTCCAGCGTTATTTCAGCATGTGAGATTATTTATGACAATTTTACATGTAAAAACGATCGCTTTTCAATTACTGCTTTTCTGTAGAAATTATCGCCTTTCAAAACGACTGTCCTTCATAAATCTGGTGTTTTCGCGCACCCATGTATTATTATTCTCTATTTATTTCTTTTTTATTTACAAGATTTGCCGCATAGTGCTCGCAGTTACACCGCACAAACATAAATATCACTAATTAATTAAACCATCACACAATATTACATAATAGGGGGATTCTCGGTTTCCAAGGTTTGAAATAGTTGCGTAACACATGTTATGAATAACAGGCCTGCACTACGACGTTGCATTCCATTGCAAGAAAACATAATCGAAACTCATAGAAACGTAAAAAAGAAGCGAAAAAACTGACTCAATTTGTGGTTAAAATTTTTGGTGAAGTTTAAAATGGTGCATGTCCAAATCCGTTCCGTTCCGCATTTTAACCCCATATCCTTTCCGTTCAGCATTTTAACTGCATGCCCGTTCCTTTCCGCATTTTAACCCCAAATCCGTTCGGCATGTTAACCCATGCATATCCGTTCCGTTCCGCATTTTGACTCCATCGGTTCCGTTTCGCATTTTAACCTAACCCGCTACAAAACTCGTTAAACAACTTGTTTTCGTGGCGTGTGGTAATAATAACATTGACGCCGTCAGGCTAACTTTGATACTTTGATAAGTTCGGCATTCCAAGAAAGCGTTCTGTACTTGAACAATTAAAGAGGTGTTGTCCGTGTCTTCGCTACAAAATCGTTTGATGTTTTGATGAGAAGGTGAGTTGTACTGTATTTAAAATGGCATATATATAAACTTAAATTAACTTTATAGCCTAGTTTGAAGTAAAAACCTGTAGATATTTTATACATATAATATACAGTTTCAACAATATGTGAATGTGTCCACAATTTTGATTGCGTGCAGCTTTGTATTGTTTGCGAACATTTCTGGTTGGAGTTGTATTGTTGGTATTTGTAATTCTTACGGGAAAATACAGCATAAAATCAATGCAAAGTATAAGACAATAGCTACAGGAAGAAATGTTCAATATTTTGGAAGACCAAAGATGGCGAAATATTGAGATTTCCTGAGATGTTCGGAGCCCGGAAGCAGTCTCTTTCACTTTGACCGGATCGCTATCGAGATCGAGATCATGTTCAACCACTCTAAATAAATCTGGTATTTTCGCGCACCTATGTATTATTCTTCATTTATTTTTTTTTTGCAAGATTTGCCAAGATTACACTGTTTATCTAAACACAAAGATAAAAATATCACTAATTAGACCATCACACAATATTATACATAATAGGTGGATTCAATGTTTCCGACGCCATTGGCGTCTAACCCAGAGCCTAATTTTCAACGAGTTACCAAGTGAAAATGACTCTTGGGACGAGAATAGGTCTTTCCCAGCTCGCGCACCATAACGAGGAAGACCCTGGATGTGCGGAATTCAATCTGAATTCTATACGCAATGCATCTCGGTCAACGATCACTTTCGACGCACACGGCACACCCTTAATTAAGGATCGTTTCCGATTGTATTCAAGTTGAAGTTTATTATAATTTCTGTAACCAACAAAAAAGCTAAGAATATTTCGTATTTGATTATTATAAATGTGTTATGTAGATGCCAAGCCTGTCATGTACATATAGTCACCTACCAATTAGGATCAGCTAATAATATCAGAATAATCCTTATTATACAATAAAGACTAGTGTGTTATGTTTAAGTAATTTAACCATCAGAATGGTCCTTATTACACATGAATTATTCAATTATAGGGTGTACAACTACTATTATTTAGCTATGTTGATCAATTTAATGTAAAGTATAATCCAGGTAGATATATGTGAAGTATTGCGAAATATTGCAATGACAAACATTTTAGATTACACACACACTGCTCATATACATGTGCATATTAAATATACACAAAATCTATAGTTTATTGGACGTCTGTATATGAAAATCAAGTGATCTGATTGCACTAAAGAAGAAAGACTCGTAAATAACGAACGATAAAACTATGTTTTTACAGAGCAATTCGTATTCTCGAAGTACAAGCGGTCACATGAGTGACTAGCGATAAACCGGAAGTTCCGGTGTTTATGATAATGTCAGTATAATTACTGCTGTTAAATAAAACAATATAAATATGCCATATATGCCGAAGCAGTACGACGTTGCATTCCATTGTAAGAAAACATAATCGAAAACATAGAAACGTAAAAAAGAAGCGAAAAAATCTCAATTTGTGGTTAAAATGTTTGGTAAAGTTTAAAATGGTGCATTTCCAAATCCGTTCCGTTCCGCATTTTAACCTCATATCCTTTCCGTTCAGCATTTTAACTGCATACCCGTTCCTTTCCGCATTTTAACCCCAAATCCGCTCGGCATGTTAACCCCATATCCCTTCCGTTCCGCATTTTGACTCCATATCCGTTCCGCATTTTGACTCCATCCGTTCCGTTCCGCATTTTAACCTAACCAGCTACAAAACTCGTTAAACAACTTGTTTTCGCGGCGTGGGGTAATAATAATTGACGCCGGCAGGCTAACTTTGATATATTCGGCATTCCAAGAAAGCGTTCCGTACTTGAACAATTAAAGAGGTCCGTGTCTTTGATACAAAATCGTTTGATGTTTTGATGAGAAGGTGAGTTGTACTGTAC